TCCGGCTCCTCCGGACAGCGGCACGGGAACGGAGGGTGGCCGGGACACCCCTCACCAGGTACATTGAGTGCTGGGGGCTGCTGAAGGGGGGAAAAGGGTCTGGGGAGAGCACAGGAAGGAACGACGGTGGCGTGAGGGGGACGTGAAGGAGCTGGGTGGTTTCTGTGCAGCCCCTCAGGCAGCTTGCCAGGGGTCCCGCTCCCTGGGTTCAGCCCAAAGCCTGTCCCCTGTCCTGGAGGGACTGTGCTACCCTGCGTCCTCCCCTCCAGCCCCTTATCTGGCCCCTTATCCCGGCGTGTCCTCGTGAAGGGGTGGGATTCACTCTGGGGGGGGCTACGGTGGACGTGCCCCTTCCCCGCTGTGTGCATGGCCAGCGCTCGGGGGAAAAGGGGAATTGAGTTTTCCTGCGGGGAAAAGTAACCCCCCCTCCTGACACAGACGTGCCCAGCGTGGGATGGGAAGCAGCATAGGATCATAGAATCACAGAGTGGTTTGGGTTGGAAGGGACCTTAAAGATCATCGAGTTCCAGCCCCCCTGCCATGAGCAGGGACACCTTCCAGTCCCAGGCTGCAGCAGGGGAAACTCAGATTAGATGGAAAGAAGAAAAAAAAAATCACCACAACTGTAATTAAAACCTACTTCAAGTGTCTAGCATTGACACATGCAAAACAGAGGCAGCCCCATGCGTGCCCTGCTTGGAGCAGGGGTCTGGACTGGGTGACTTCCAGAGGTCCCTCTGCCAGCAAGGCATTCACATCCCCCAAACCCAGCATCCTGCGCCGGACCCTGCACCCTGGCTGCTGTTAGAGGTGCTGGGGAAGCAGATGGTGGGTTTAGGATGTGGTTCCCCCCGGGCGTGTTTTAAGCCCCATGAGCTCAAATACAGGTGACAAGGTGGTGGACTGTACCATTAGTCAGATGAACCTGCTGGAAGAGTCACCTGTACTTTACCCCCTGATACAAGCATTTGAGGCTCTCCAGGAGCAGCATGTGGTTACGTTTCAGGGTAGGAACCCAGGGTGGCAATGCCATCTGGACTTCCACGTATCAACCCTGCTGACGTGATCTACAACAGCAGAGAAGCTGTTGTGACTTACTGCTGGGGACACATGGGATCCTCAAATGGGCAGCTCTAGGAGGAAACTAAATGCTTAAAACTCCATCTCTGGCTGTCGTTAGTGCTTAGCCTCCCCTTTTTCTCTACCTGCTGGAGGTGAAACGCTTTATCTCTTCAAAATCCGTTAATATTAGTGGTGGGGGAACCTTTCTGCAGTGGTGTCATTTGCAGAGATGTTCCTGCTGGGGGAGGTACACATGGATTTAGCCCTTGGATCCATAAGCTCCACGGTTTCTGGGAAGACTGAACCCAGATGCCCCCTCTTGCTGACTTGAAAGCTGCTGCCTGCTGCTTCCACTGGAAATCCCCATGTCCTGACCGCACAGCAGATAGATTTTCCACCACCCAGGTCCTGCTTCAGGCCCAAATCATCAAACACCAAACCAACTGGGGTGAGGAGAGTTACTTCAGTGCCTAAAATGGGATATTTAAGATGCAGAAGCATCATCCAAAAGGCTGGGAATTGCCCAGCTCCGCTATTGTTTCTCTCAGTCTTTGTACCCTACTCTGGCAAGGGGGATGTTCTTCTGTCCCCAGCCCCGCGTGCCATCTATGCTCGCCACAAGATGTTATCACCGAATTACAGAGGTCAGCATCACCTCCACACTGAGCCACCCCAAGATGTCAGATGGAAGCAGCCTTTAAAACATGCATCATTCTTGTTTACTGGAAAAAAGTGGCTCAGATAACTGGGAAAATGCATATTTGCATTTCAGTGACAGTCTCCACCATTTACACCCGGCAACACAAAAGGCTTCAGTGTTAAGGACTCTGCTTCAGCTCCCTGGCATTCCCTGAGCTCAGCTCCCCCGCTTTGGCAGCCTTCAAAAACAGGACAAGCCAAGGTCAGGGGAAGAAAGAAAATAAAATTAAAAAAAAAAAAAAAGAGAGAGAGAGAAAAAAAAAAACAAGGAAAAAACCCAAAACCTGATAAAACCTCCCTGATTGCCTCTTACTATCCAAGTGAGAGCTCCTGCACAGGAGCTGCTCGCTCTTTGCTCCAAAGGATCTTGCCCTGCCCAGAGTCCCCCACCCCAGCCCCTTCCTCCCTCAGAGGAGAAGCTGGCACCCCTCCAGCCCCCAGCTGCTGGGATGGACACTGCTGGAAGTGGCAGAGATCAGGTTTTGTCAGGCACGGGGACAGGTCGCCAGGACACCAGCACCACCATCCTCTGTCCTCCTCCACCAGTAACTTCCCCCAAGCTTCATGGAGATGCTGAGCAGCCTGAGGAACAGCAAACCCACTTCAGAAGGTGCTGGGAAGAAGCACCGTGACACCCACAGCACCGTCCTGCTGCTCTCACTTGCGTAAGCTCTCCCACTGCAAACCCCTGAAGCGCTGGAGGGAAGAGTTTGAGGATCTGGCCCAAAACAGCACAATGTCAGATCACCTCCCTGTGCCAGCTTGCACAGCCAGCACTGACTTATACTGATGTTGGATCCAGCCTTGGGATTTAAAAAAAGCCTCTGTGTTTATCCAAGTGCCAGGAAAGGCTGTCGGAGCTGCTTCCTGCACCCTTTCAATCCCCGGCTCCAGGGTCACTGTGGGAACTGCCCGGCTGCAGCACATCAGCTCTGGAAAACAAACTCAAACCCAGGAACTAAAAGCAAAAACACCATTAAACACAAGGAAGCCATCATCTGGCCAGTGTGGACTCCAGCCATTAAAAACTGAGGAGCAGGACGCTCATCTCAGGTCTCAGCTACTGTAAAACCAGAAGGGCTGCAGAATTCCAGGCTTTAAGACACACACAGACATATAAAGTCACAACCTGATGCATTTCTTAAAAAGCATAGATTGATTTCCAGTACTGCAGGAGGAGAGCAGGGGTAACAGATGCTGTTACCCCACAGTATCCATGGGGAAATCAATTAGCTACCATGGCCGTAGTGTAATTTAACAGCATACAGGTTTTAGGGATGTTTCTCTTCTGCTGTGGAAGATGCTGGAAGGGCACAGATAAATGATTAAAAGTTTGTTTAGGACAAAAAGAACAGGCTGATGATGTAAACTACTGACACCAACAACCATCCATCTCCCCCACACCAGAGGCTCCAGGTTTCCTTTTCTGCTGTTCCTTTGAGGGCTGGACAAACTGGACAGAG